CAAAGGAATAAATTAGCACAATTAACAACACTTAATACATAGGTCCTAGTATATAATCTAGCTTAGTGACAAATAAGGTATGGGAAAAAGAAAAAAATCAGTTAGTAACATAAGATTTTAGCTTTTCACTGAGCACTACAAGGACTTTAAACATCCTGCAAACTCTGCGAACACTGTTCCGGGCAAAAGAGCAGAAGCGCGTTTCCTCATCATGACACATGGCCCGTGCACTTGCCAGGCGTAGCAAAGCTGCAGACACCAGGCCCGCACGGTCATCAATTTAATGGGGTGTCCTTGGAAGATCACATTGCAATCCCCTGGGTTAAATCATGGCTCAGGAAGAGGGGTTATTTTGCTAGTGACAAGTGCATCCAAAGAAAGAGAACACAAAAAATTTATTTAAAACAACAACAAAAAACCCCCCAGCAGACTGAAGACTATTAGAATAAATTGATAGACCATTTGCACCGCCACTGGTATCACTTGGTAGGCAGCCTGATAATACATGTAGTATAATTTATCTGGAGGCTCACAGGGAACATCATCTGCAGTTTTTGATTTGTATGTTAATGTATGTTACCATGTTGGTAAGGTCACCCCTCTCTGTACCATTAGCATATATGCAGAGAATGAAAATTAATTTTGATGATGTCTTGAGTAGAACATAGATGTAAAACTGAATCTGTTACAAAGAATCATATTATATTCTTTAGAAAATGCAAAACAGGGCCAGTCCCACAGTGCAGCAGTTAGGTTCTATGCATAGAAACCCAGATTTTACATGGCCAACTATGGTTTGAATCCTTGGCCTAGCAGCTTGAAAAACATGCTGTGTGTGTGTGTGTGTGTGTGTGTGTGTGTGTGTGTGTGTGTGTGTGTGTGTCTGTGTGTGTGTGTTGATGTGTGTGTGCCCCAAACCTGATGGGATGGGAAAATAAAGGAAAAGGAATTATGGCATGACCACACCCCACAGAGGGGGCTTTCTCTCTGGCAACTGCACATGCCCCGGCAATAAAATAAAATAAAATAAAATAAAATAAAATAAAATAAAATAAAATTTTAAACATCATTGGCTTTAAAACTATGTTAGTAGTTTCCCAATGACTATAGGAACTAAATACATAGGTTCATGGATTTATTTTATATATTACAGTTGAATCACTAACATCATAACTTTTAATGTGCTTCCAAAACCTAAATAGAATATCTAACATTTAAACTCTGGCACTGGAAAGGTGGTAAAAGCTAAAACTTGCATTGTTTCTCAAGAATAATAAAAATAAATGTTTTTTTTTTTACTATCTTCAGGCCAAATTTTAAAAATTATTATACATGCATAAAAATAGTACAATAAACTTCATTAATCTAGATTATTTAAGGTTAGGAATTTTGTTTGTTTGTTTCAATATTCTGGTTAATTGACAGCAAGTGCATTTTGTTGAAATCTTTCCCAAACAGTTTCTTTTCCTAAGTATTGAACATTTAACCATTCTCAATGATTCAGCATGCTGGAGTCGTCAGCTACAAATATTCTCTAGGGTAAGTTACCCACCTTTACTAAAAACCAAAACTACATTGTTTTCTTACCCTTTATCTCTGAAAAAGGGAAGTGGACTGTGTGTGGTAGGGTGGGTGTGTGGGAGGGGCTGGGGTAAGGAAGTACGAAGATTAGTTGATTCAGGGTTCTGGTTAGTTGGGTTCCAGGTAGTTCAGAGATCAGTAAACGTGAACTCAGCATCTGGAACCAGGCACGTGTGATTCCCAGGAATCGAGCGCATCCACAAGGAGCGCCCTCAAGGGTCCATCTTTGGGAGCTTTCTCTGCCTCCTGTCACTTTGACTGAGTGACTGTTGACTTGCTGGTCTCTCTGGGAAGAATCTGTATCGGTGTGTTTATCAGAGTATGCTTTCAGAATTCACGGGGTGGAATGCATTTTGATTAGATTCAATATCCATGCCATTTCAGCTGGAGCTTAGAGGACTGGTACGCACATGCAGATGTCAGAGATGAATAGCCTGTACTTTCCTCTCCCTCAGACTTGCTGACCTGAATTTTCTTTTCAGAAACGTTTCTACATACACACACACACACACACACACATAGGGAGAGAGAGTGTGAGAGGTATATATGTATGTATACATACTCACATGTACATATGTATACACACACAGAGAGATGTGTGTATATGTTGAGTATCCCTTTCCAAAATGCTTGGGACCAGAAGTGTTTCAGATTTTGGAATTTTTTCAATTTTGGAGTATTTGCCTATACACAATGAGCTATCCTGGGGGTGAGCCCCAAGTCTAAAAGCAAAATTTAGAAGTTTCACATATATCTTATGCACATGCCCTGAAGGTAATTTTATATCACAGTTTGTATGGTAGCAGTTTGTGTCCTGTCACATGAGGTTAACGTAGAGTTTTCCACTTGTGGTATAATGTCAGCGCTCAAAAAGTTTCACATTTTGGAGCATTTAAGATTTTAGACCATGGGGTCAGGGATCCTCAGCCTGTACATGGGGTCTTGCTATTTTGAGGAAAAAGTGGGATAATTGAAGACAGTGGTTTCTGAACTTTTGGACACACGGGTGACCTTATGATTGCTCCTCAGGTATGCCAGTCTCCAGACAACCCCCGGTGTGGGTGTGGAGGTAGTGAAGGAGACCTGACGAAATCATGACAACTAGGGCCAGTGAGAATCTGCTGCTAATTCTTCAGAAATCAGCTTTCTATCGAGAGAAACAGAGTAAAAAGCAAGAACCAAAAGAAGTGGGGACCAGTGCTCTTACGCGGGGTTCCATGCTGTGCATTCCATGCAGGATTCTAGCTGGGTCACAAGACTGCTCTGTGATTGATGGACACAGTAACACCTGTCCCTCCCAGCAGGACAGGGAGTTGGTAAGAGGGGGCCATCCATATGTACCTCCCGGCACTTCATTTGCAGAAGGTACAACTGGTGTCATAATTATTAAAGGCACGGTAGCAGGACAACTGCTATGACTTTCCTATCGAAGCGTTGACTTTTTACTACACGTGGATCTGCAGCGATTCCCCATTTCCACCTACATGCAGCTCCAGTGATCCAGACCTGTGATAAGCCGCTATGTTGCTGGCCTGTCAGTGCTCTGGGCATGGACTGCTTCTTTAGCAGTGTCAGTGCGGAGCATAGGGCAGTGCCACTGCAGGAGCACAGGGGCTGCATGCTTCCCTGCATCCCGGCGAAGCAGGTGTCTCTATGTAGGCAGGGGCTACAGCTGTTTACAGCGAGTTTCCATGACAGTTTCTGACGAATGTGTCTTTACTCTGGGCTCTTTACTAGGAATCCAATTCTCTTTCTTTCTTCCTTCTTTCTTTCTTTCTTTCTTTCTTTCTTTCTTTCTTTCTTTCTTTCTTTCTTTCTTTCTTTTCTTTTCAAGAGACATTTTTGCTATAGGATGTCACTGCTTGCCAGAGAGACAGAGAGAAACAGAGAGACAGAGAGCAAGAAATCACCTTCTCTGGGGTGGGGGGGGGGAAGTGGCCACACTTCAATCCCTTCTACTCCATTCTCCTTTCAGTATTTTGGGCACACATGCACACATGCCTGGCATGAGTTTCAAGCCACTCGGTCCAGTACTCAAACTGTGGTTGGTCCTGTGGGAGTCCAATGAGGTAAACATTATGTCATCTGCTGGTCCTTTCAATAGGAACCCAGTTCCAACACTGAAGTATGCCACTTGCCAGATCCCTACCTCTGCCACCTTCTGGGGACTGCCAGAAGATAGCGTAGATGAGGGAGGTGGCAGTGACATGCCTCTGTTCTTACCGGACCTTCACAAACGGTACTGTGGCTCTCAAGCCCTAGCTATTCTGCACAGCACTTTGGAAGGAAGGTGAGCCCTGATAACTGTTTGTTTGTTTGCTTTTTAAATATATAGTGGTAAAATACACATAATATCAAACCACTTTAAGTTATTTAAAATGTGTAGTTCAGTGGATTAAAGACATTCACATTGTGGTGCAACTATTACCACATTTTCATCTTCTGAAATGGAAACTCTATATCCAGTAAACAACTGCCCCCTCTCCTCCTTCCCCACCATCCTCTGGCAGCTACCATCCCTGTTTCTGACTTCATGAACTTGACAATTCTGGATACCTCATATAAACGGCATCATTTAACATTTGCCCTCTTGTGACAGGCTGTTTTGCTTAGCATCTGCAAGGTTCACTCATGGGGTAGTATGCGTGAGGGTTTCATGTATTTTTAGGGCCAAATGATATTCCATCATATGTGTATGCTGCCTTCTGTGTATCCAGTCATCTGCTGATGGACACTTGGGTTGCTTCCACCTTTTGGCTATTGGAATAATGCTGCTGGGAACGTACAAATAGTGTTCAAATCCATACTTTCACTTCTTTTGGGTGCATATCTAGAAGTAGAATTGCTGGATAACATGGCAATTGTAATTGGTTTTGAAGAATCACCATACTGTTTGGTATTTGGCTTTGTTAATGAACTTTATTTATTTATTTTTTATTTTTATGATAGAGAGTGCACACATGTGCATGAGGGAAGGAGAGGAAAGAGAAAAGGCCCCTCGACAGCATCTCATCGTGCCACGAGCACCTTCCCCAGCCTTCCAGCTCCTCAGCATATTGGATGCCTTTGTGTACACCTGGCATGAATAACGTTCTTCTTTCTTTATTTAGAAAGAGATCTTTTTATAGGGTGCTTCCACTTGCCAGAGAGAGACAGGAAGCGAGAAATCACCCCCTAGGAGGTATGGCCACGCTGGAATAAGGTTTATTTTGAAGAGCAGGTTTAGGTTCACAGAGGTTTCCCACTGCCCCCGTGCCCATACACACAGTGTTCAGAATTACAGAGACACTCCAGGCCCTCGATGAAGGCTCTGCCACGGGTACAGTCCGTGATCCAGGCAGGCCTGCTGTGTGTGGAAGAGCCCAGAGTCCTGATTAACTGAAGAGTCACCGTGGCCTTCTTCCCTCCTTGGCCTGTAGATACAAAACCGACTGCAACAGCAAAGGACATCCCAAGGGAAACCTGATGTTTAGACGTGGAGATGCACAGAATGGCGAAGCAGGAAGGGGCACTAAAAAGCATCTGATTCTCTCTCTTCCCCTCACTTCCTGGTGGAGGTGCTTCATAAACTAATACCCTTCCCTCCAAGAATGCTGTGCAGAATAACTAGCTAATAATAAGTGACTGCCTGGCAGCGATGTCATAGTTTGTGAGGGTGGAGGAAAACATAATTACATCACTCACAGCCCTGCCAGCCCCAGTGCCAGCCCTGTACCTTCTGGGCAGCTCTGGATCCATTCCATTATTGAACTCTTTCTGCACTTATCACTTTTTGCCTTATTTTTCTAATCTTTGTGAGTTTTATTCTCAGTACATTTAAGTCTATCTCCAGGATTTCTGGCTTTATTAATGTTTAGAGAATAGGTATATTCTTTTGTTACGTATTTGCCTGGCAATTACTTCGTTAATAGTGATTATTCTCAATTCCGAAGAATTGTAACAGGAGAACGGTAAGTCCTCAGTGCTGCTTTGAATGATAACATTTATCAAATCCAAGTAAAATGTTAGGAATCACAGTACCTATTCACTGATAGAAAATGCCCAGAAATTTCTCAAATTCCTAAACAGCATCCCTCATACTCTTTTTATAGTCCCATCGACTCAGTGAAACAAAGCAAAAAATGTGGTTTAAAATTCTTACAATGAAAGCTCAGAAACACATGAAATGCAAGCACAGTCATAGGCATATATGTGTATCTGTGTGCATGCTCACATGTATCCATGCGTACATTTGTTTAGCCAAAGTTTTCTAATTTTTCTATTAACATGGAATAAATTCGTGTGCTTGGCATATGGGTAACTGACTTGTTTGAAAGTTAACACAATCATGTGCTGATCTTCAAACTTTGTCAATCTCGAGAACTTAAAACCTCACGCGAACCTGGACTTGCTGATGTGGGTTATTTATTAAGAGGTGCTTCTTCCTTCCCACCTGTGTTTTGTAAATCCAGTCATGTTTAAGTATGCGAGGGGATAGGTAACACCGCGATTCACTTGGAAAGGGAATAATATATTTCCCAACCCAGATAAGAAGATTCTGCTGTTCAAGCAAATGCAAATGCGTGATGAACACACCTGCTAAAGGACTACAGCCACTGTCTTAGCCCATGATGGTCACACCTGCGGAGAACGGAGGGCAAAGAATATCTGGTACTAACAATTCTGGGGTGGAGCTGGCACAGACTGATACATCTACTTGGCTGGACTTTGAAAAGAGGAGGGGCTGAGTGGACCTTAAAACTCTTTTCTGGGACCAACAGTTAGCGTAATGGCTATGTTGCTGAACTCCCATGTAGTCGACTGCAGTTCAAGTTCCGAATTCAGTGGCCTAAACTCATGCCGGGCGCATGTGCATGAGTGCCTGAGAGGAGAATGGAAGAGAAGGGATTGCAGCGTGGCCATCCCCCCTGGGGGGTGACTTCTTGCTTTCTCTTTGTTTCTTTCTGGTGAGCGCACATGCTCTATAGCAAAAATCTCGAAAAAACAAAAATCCCTCTTTTCTGAGGCATGCATCAATGTGTTAAGTAAAACATTACATTTTTAATTTCATGATGTTTAATATGGAAGTATATGGTATTCTTCCTGTATCCTTCCTCAGCCTTTCAATGACACTTGAGTTAAAATAATGATTCTCAAAGCAGAGTCTGTGCATCAACTGTGTCACTCTTACTTAAAACTTGAGAGAAAGCAATTTCTGGCCTGTACCAGATCTACTGAATCAGAAATTCTGGGCAAAAGGCCCAGTATTTGTACTTTAACAAGCCCTCCCGGTGATGCAGATGCAGACTAAAATTTAAGAACGAGTTAGGGAATCACCAACAGGCAGATTCGAAGCCTTGATCCACCCTCAGTTTTAAGTCTCAAGATACTTTGTTAAAAGAAAAGTAACAGTATACATTCTATTTGCTATATATTCTATTTGTCACATCACTTAAGAAAATACTTATCATGGTTAATTCCAAGAAAAGGAAGCTTAGTGAAAACTTACATGTAATTTCTCCAGGTCCTGTGCTGGCTTTGAGCTTCAGGATGCAGGGATCTGGGCAAAGGGAGTGACGAGAAGGCTACAGCAATCCATTCAGACGTGGGCCCCCATGCTTTGTGGAACAACCTCGGAACAGGTCAGTGGGTGTCTACCTAAATGGGAAGAAAAATTTGTCCATTAGCAGAGACAACTTTGCATGTGAACCTTTCCCTCTCCCCCTGCTACCCTGTTATATCCTGATTTTAAATTTTTTTTTAATGACTCTACATGACTAACTTACTGTGCCCTGGCTGTGTGTATGAATCTTGACCAATCTATATGACAGAATATGAAATAATAAGAGAGCCCATGGAGCTAATGCTTGGGCTCCACTTCAGGGGAAGCTCTATTCCTTGAAATATTTTGTGAGGGAAGTATCCCGCATCAAGTGCTCTCCTGAACTTACAAGCAGTACAATCAGTTATCTCCTCTATTTCATCTCATGAATGCTTTCTTTCAACAATCAGAATGCCTTGGTTTAAAAGACATGTGCGTCTGTCATAACTAGAAGAGATTCAGGAAGCAAATGATGAATTCAAGAATTCTGATGAAATGAGATGATTCTCTGATGCCTCAAGAGTGTATTTATCTTTAACGTTTGTTTATTTCCTTCATGAGAGAGCACCGGAGAGAAAGAGAGAGACAAGGACCCTCAAGAGGGTCCTATGGTCTAACCCCCTCTGGTTCACAGCCTGCCAGATCACAGACAGACATGCACACCTCCAGCATGTTCCAATGCGGGAGCCAAACTCTGATCTTCTGTATGGCTTCCAGCTTTTTAGAATGTTGTGCTACCACTGCACCACCTTGGTTGGGCCTCAAAATTAATTTCAAAATTAATTGAATTGTTTTAAAATTAATGATATATTGTTTTCCTAATAAATTAATATGCTTAAAGGACATTTGGAAAATTTAAAAAAAAAGAAAAAGAAAAAAATCACAGTAGCCTTGACACAGAAAAATCACTGATTTGTTCATATATTCAGTGAACTTCCTGGGGCTAGATATGTTTTTTTTTTTTTTTGAGAAATTTTCACTGTAGGGCGCGTGCACTCGCTAGACAGACAGAGAGAGACATAGAGACAGAAAGCGAGAAATCAACCCCCAGGGGGGATGGCCACGCCGCAATCCCTTCTCCTCCATTCTCCTCTCGGGATCTTGGGCACGCACGCACACGCGCCCGGCGTGAGTTTTAAGCCACCGGGTCCGGGACACGAACCACGGTCGACTACGTGGGAGTCCAGCGACATAGCCATTACGCTAACTGCTGGTTCCCGGGGCTAGATATGTTTCAGAATCCATAATTTTTGGATTTTAGAGTATTAGGATGCAGCTACTACTTATTACATATTACCTTATGAGAGTCTGGAGCAGTACCCTGTAATTAAACATATTAAATTTCTACAAAAAGGTAGATGCTTATTCCTATTAAGTAGGAGAAACTAAAGCCTCACAGTAGTGTAAGCTAGATTTTTCTACCAAAGAAGTTTTATTCGAAACCTCTTGCATTTAGAATTGGAGAAAAAGGATGGCAGACCAGTATACCTTTCAGATGTACAAATGTACTCAGGTTTTGTTTCTACTTTTCCATCTAACTATGAAATGAAATTTCATATATGTATGTGAGCATTTTCTCAAGTTATTAAACATTACTAAAAACATACTTTGTAAAAGCTATATAATATTATGCCCTATAGAAATATATTTTATTTATTTAACTTTTTTTTTCATTTTTGAAATTATAGATTGTTTTCTTTTTTGGTTACTGCTAATAACACTTTGAGGGGTATATCTGAATATCAGATTGCCTGAACTTTTGAACATTTTCTTAGATAGGCTTCAAAAAAAGTATTATTGAATCAAATGCATGAACCTTTTAAGGGTCTTGACTTTCTAGAAAAGACTACACCAGTTTGCACTCTTCCCAGCAGCATGAGTGCCTGGTTCATTTATTTAACTACAAAATTTATCATAGACACAAACACACTTAAACTTCACACATCTTATCCAAATTCTCATCAGTGATGGCCAAATTTAGGAGATTTATTTATTTACACATTAGACAGTGAACAAAGCTGGCCCTGTAGCACAGCAGTCAAGCACTGTGCAGAGGAAGCTGGATCCCACGTGGCTGACCAGAGTCCAACTCTAGGCCCTAGTGGCTTGAAAAACACACCAGGCACACGCATATGCTCAGGATCCTAAGGATTAGTGTATCTCACTCAGGATTCTCAGGGTGAGAACTGGAAGAAAAAGAATTGTGGTGTGACCAGATCCCACTGCTGGGGTGTTTTCTCTCTTTCTGTCTCTGTTTCTACACTAAGCTAGGAAAATGGTGTAAATAAAATCCAAGACAATTCTAAATAATAGCAAACCCTCTGAAAGTCCTGTATTGAGGAGGAAGGCTGTGTTACCTAGAGTACGAATAATAAAGAAGAGAGTCTAACAGCAGAGTATACATGGAGGAAAATACGTTCAAAATCCTGGGGCCGGCAGGTGGTGTGGTGGTTAAAGGTGTTGGATTCCCACATGACCCATTGCAGTTCGAGACCTGGACCTGGCAGTTTGCTTTCTCCCTTTCCCTTTCTGTCTCTTTCTGATTCTCTCTGGTCAAATGAAAAATTAATAATACAAGTGGAATGAAATAAATAAATAATTCTTTAGAGAGAGAAAAAAAAAGAAAAGAATCCTAAAATACAAACACATTCCTCCTGAATTTGACTACAGATTGGGAATGTTAAAGTAGGGTTCACTGCTCCAAGTTCCTTCCATTTATAGCTTTTTCTAATAATTTCTGTTTCTTCTTTCTGTATTTAACCTTACAGAGTAACTGATTTGGAAAAGGCTACAGTCTTCACATGCTAATAAAGAAAATGAGAGAGATATTTCTTTGTTATATACAATGAAATAACTCTTTTTTATCTATATATTCAAGTTATGCACTCCATATATACTATAAAATGACTAAGATTTGGCAGGAGAGGGCTTAAAAATTCAGTTTTATTTTGAAAGCTTTATTTTAAATTGATCTTCCCCAATAATATATTCTGAAAAGTACGGATTGTTTCTATCAAAGTGATCAAAAGGCCAAAGATGTATCAAGAAGTAGATCATCTTTACTGTGACGTCTCTTTATTATTTAAGTAGCATTATCTCAAAATGAGTAGAAAGGCCTACACATGATTTTTTCTTTCCCCAAATCAGATATATGGATACTTTCCTAAGGATACCAGGACTACAGGTGAAAAATAAAGTGGTAATAGAGGAATGAACCCTCAAAGAAAATCCCCCACCCCGCCCCCCGCAAAGAGCCCAATTGCTTGGGGAGAAAACACAAAAAACGAACCATCACTAATAACATAAATGATTACCAAAGACTCTTAACATACTCAAACTGCACAGCTAGCATTTGTAAAGCTAATTACAAATTTGGATTCTCTCATTTTAAAAATATACTTTAAAGCAGCCCACTTCTGTTTCAATGCCGAACCAAAGTCTGTGCGATTGGCACATTATCAAAGAAAAAAAAAAGAATCACTTGAAAAACTTATTACTTTCCATGTCACTAAATCCTGAATGGCAAAATATCACAAGCTAAAGACTAGTAACCTCCAAAAAAACCCCCCCCCCCGCCCCCCGCAAAGAGCCCAATTGCTTGGGGAGAAAACACAAAAAACGAACCATCACTAATAACATAAATGATTACCAAAGACTCTTAACATACTCAAACTGCACAGCTAGCATTTGTAAAGCTAATTACAAATTTGGATTCTCTCATTTTAAAAATATACTTTAAAGCAGCCCACTTCTGTTTCAATGCCGAACCAAAGTCTGTGCGATTGGCACATTATCAAAGAAAAAAAAAAGAATCACTTGAAAAACTTATTACTTTCCATGTCACTAAATCCTGAATGGCAAAATATCACAAGCTAAAGACTAGTAATGCCATGTAGTCATATTATCTTACAAGAGTTTATAGTTTCCCCACCCTTAGGCAACGCCCACCTTTCCTCTCCTGGTAGCTCTATGCTGGGCAAGTCGCTCACTGCTTCTGAGCTCAGCACCTCCCGTGGGTGTTGGGAATGCATGCAAGAGCTTGTATTTATTTATTTATTTTCTCAAATTAGAAGAACTATTAGAAATATTGGGTTTAGGGGCCAGAAGGTACCGTGGATTGGCGCTAAAAGTACTGGATTCCCACGTGGCCAACTGGTTTGAGCCTCAGATCTGGTGGCTTGCTTTCTCACTTTCTCATTCTCTCTCTCACCCTATCCCTCTCTGGTCAAATTTAAGAGTAAGTAAATAAATACATTTAAATAAAAATAATTCTTTAAAAAAGAATTTTTAATTTGACCAGAGAGGGACAGAGAAAGAGAGAGAGAGAGAGAGAGAGAGAGAGAGAGAGAGAGAGAAATTGATAAAGCAAGCTGCCAGATCCAGGACTTGAACCGCGGTCACCCATGTGGGAGTCTAGCACCCTTAACCACCACACCACCCACTGGCCCCAATAAAAATAATTCTTCAAAAAAAACAAAAGAAAGATTGAGTATAATTTTTCTTTTTACTAACAACTTTATGAGGCATAAAGATATATTTAAAATTAACTTATTTATTTCTTACAAGAGAGAGAGACAGAAAGACAAGTATCTCCAATAGGCTCTCATGCTATGACTCCCACCCCAAGTCTTTTTCAGCCAGCCAGGATCATGAGCATGCATGGTGTGCACAAGTCAGCGTGGGAACTGCACCCCAACCTTCTACATGATTTCCAGCACTGCAGAGCACTGGCCACCACTCTGTCACTGCAGGGAGCCTGAGACATAAAGATACAAATCCTCATTCACAGTTAAGGAAAGTGACACAGGAAGACACAGAAAAAAAAAAAGTATGCCATTAGCATAGTTTTAGTTCTGAATGGGCCACAAGTAGCTGAGTGACACTCTGGGATTTAATTTCTTCAGTAAAATGAGGGAATTCGATGAGTTGTTTTTCTTTTTTAGTTTTTGCTATAGGGCACATGTGCTTACAGGAGAGAGACAGAGAGACAGAGAGAGAGAGAGAGAGAGAGAAAGAGGAAAAGTGAACCCTGGGGGTGTGGAGGTGTGGGCCACACTGCAATTCCTTCTCCATTCTCCTCTCAGGATTTTGGTCATGTACGCACATGTGCCTGCTTATTTTTCAAGCCACCTAGCCTGGGACTTGAAATACAGGTTGGCCAAGTGGGATCCAGTGGCCTTTACCTCCATGTCACCTGCTGGCCTGGATGAGATGATTCGAAGGACTTTTTGAGGCCAGTGGTTATGTGATCTGGTTGGTTATGTAGTGAAGGGGGAGCCTCAGGAGACATGGTAGGAAGTAGAAGCCAAATGCCATGAGGCCAAGACAATGCCCACCAATCAAAGGCCTGCAGTGTTGGGGTAAAGTTCTCGAGTAGATCCCATCCCCAGGAATGGGACAGACATCAACCAATTCATTTTGCTAGACTGAGGAGAAGTTGGGGAAATCCTAGAAAGATGATCAAGACATCTGTGGCAGAGGAAGAAAGTTCTGGGGAAGTTTAAAACAGCGGTTTTTATGAACTGGCACAGAGAGTTCACTACTTTAACGACCGACGTACCCGAGCAAGTGTGTATCATTCGGGAATGCCAGTCTTGCTAACAGCCTCACTATTGTTTGGCTGCCACTCTCAGAGCCACTTCCGTGGGTTACCTATCTCTCTTGGTTGAGCTCCTGCTATGTGGGCAGAGGTGTGTAAAAGAGCTTTGTTTTATGTATTATAAATACGCAACAAGAGCAAAAGCTAGAAGGTGGGGTGGTGGTTAAGGTGCTGGATTCCTACATGATGGACCACGGTTCAAGTGTTGGATCTCGTGGCTTCAAAATCAGGGGTGTTTGTGTGCATGCCCCAAATCCTGAGAAGAGCATGAAGGAGAAGGGATGGCTGTGTGACTATCCCCCCCGGGGGGGGGGTGACTTCTTAATTCCCCTCTCTCTGTCTTTCTCTAGTAAGCACATGCAACCTATGGCAGAAACCTTAAAAAATAAGAGAGTGCACACAACAAGATCACGTGGAAATTTTACTTTGAAAAGACTGGAGCTCCCAGCTTCGGCCTCTACAACTGATCTTGTAGCAGTGCTAATACACCTGCCTATGACGATGGCAATATTCACAGCTGTGCTGTTCCATCTGGCCACCAGTGACATGCAGCTATTGAGAACTCGAAATGTGCCTCGTGCCAAGGAGAAACCCCATTTTTAACTTTCACCGGTTTAAATGAATTTAAATAGCCACATGAAGTTGGTGGTTACACCTTATTGCACAGCACACTTCTAGGCTGGCTTACCTATTAGTTTTCTTGGACACACTAGTATTCTTCAGACCCTAGAGGCCCACCGAACAATACCCAACTCAACAAAATGATGGTGGATCAAACAGCAACAGGCATTTCCTGACCGCATGGCATCTTTCAGCTAGATTGATTTCTGAAGACCTCACAAAATTTTGAAGTGGCTCACCAGAATGCTCTTAGGAAAAGGTGGGTGAGGAGATATGGTAATGCTACACTAAGCATGAAAGCACTCGCTTTTTCATTTCTTCATATTTACTGTTAGAGAAGCTGGGGAAAGTTTCAAAAGGTTGGTCTGAATGGCTACTGTTCATTCACTTACAAGTAAAGTAACATATCCCAGATATGGGAAATTATCTGTAAGTAATTCCCTTAGCATAACGTTACATTTTCTTAAAAGAAAAAGTCAGTGGGACCTGCATTCTTAAGCTAAGAAACAGTAAATGGTATTTAATTACAGCAACAGCCATAAGAAGTGTAAGTGGGTCTCCAGCTGCAAACAGTGGGCAAGGGAACGTTTATATCAAATAGTTGCAAAATGATCAGGTTTTCTAGAAGGTACTTCTTACATAAGTGAGGCTGATTGCATTCGTTATTCCTACAACTCAACTCTTGGCTAAGATGTCCTGAGCGGCTTTTATAGGATTTGATGAGTAAAGCCCTGTCTGCTGTCCTCAGGAAACTACAGGTGGAGGTATTTTTATCTACATCACAAATCTAATACTAACAATGGCATTTCTGAGAAACATGAAAGTGATGCAATGTTCTTCTAATTTTCAGTATTGCTCCCCACACCTTTTGGTCAGTTCTCTGCTATCCTAATTGCCTTGTCCTACCTTACTTGGATTCAGAGTGATGCCAAGAATACAAAATAAAAATTTCAGAATTGGTTTATACTCTTGAGGTTTGTCTAAACTTCAAGACAGAGACATCATGCTTTAGAATACAGAGGTTTTCAGTTATTTGCCTCCGTTGTGTTAATATTATTAATATCGCTTGGGGTAAAAGATTCATCAAGCAAAACCACCCGATTTGTCTCAGCATCACGTAATCATACATGGATGACAACAGTGAACCAAGCTGACTTACCAGCTTATACGTGTCACTTCTGGCCCAATCTGGGTGGTATAGTTCTTAGTGTACTGGACTGTGGTGCTGGAAGCCACAAGGCCTACTACAGGTTTGAATCCCTAGCCCAGTAGACCTAAATGCACGGGGAATGTGGCACTCATCCAAGATCCTGATGGGTTGGAGGACTGGAGAAAGGGAACTGCAGACTGACCATGCCCCGTGGAGGGTGCTCCTCTCTCTTTGTCTCTCTCACCTGTTGTGTACATGTGCTATCATGAATAAAACAAAGTCAACCTAAAAACAGACCACTCTAGTTCCCCTTCCCAAAGTCAGACTATTGATTTTTAGTGCTCATAAATAACTCTTCCACCTCTGTGCGTGTGAGTGTACACACACTCATCATCACTTTTTCCCTCCACACTGAGTAGAAAGACAATTTACAGTGGTCAGAAAACAAAAGAAGTGTTTCAAACTTAATTTCAAAGTACAAATTGCATTTGAGGACTGCTAAAAAGGTCAAATTGTAGATGTTCTGCTTGTCCCAGACTGTATAAAAATATTGCTAAAATTTTGGTGACAGCTTTAGTGACAAATGTGTCAACTGTGAGTGATCCTAAAGTCTTTATTCATATTCAGAAACATCAAATGGAGTAGTCACATACCATTTTATGGCTAGGAAGATTTTAAAAAGAAAGGGGTCAATTGATGTTAATTTTTGGGAAACTACAGAGAAGAATTTTTAAAATATCTACTTTTAAAACAGAATTTAAACAGTCACTTGTAAAAGGCAGAAGACCTTTGAATCATAACTCTTGTGGCTTTTGTGTTTTGTTCTACTGGCATGGGAAGGTAGGGGTAGGAAACGTGCTTTTTTGCTGCAATACAGAAAGAAGTAGGGGGGAGATGCAACCATTTCAGACAGGATGGAGAAAATTAATGAAGATAAAACAACTCTGAAAGTTTCCACTTACACATTTCAGGTGCTGGGACCAAGTTATTCTAGCTGGAGAACCACAGCTAGAAAATTTGCTTCTTTGATAGTTAACATGTTTTAGTTCCCAAATATACAAAGAAATTATTCGGATTTCCCCCTCTATCATAAAAGGGTGGTGTAAGCAGAACAAATTGGCACCAGTAACTCAGAAAAGAGAAAAAGATAAAAAGAAACAAGTGTTGAAAATACATAACTTGACATGTACAATTACGTATAGAACAAAATCAACCTTCAAAAATGCCACTCTAGTTCCCCTGCCCAAATTCTTGGGTTCTGTAGACTTTATATATAAGAAATACAATACTAACTTACATTTGTCTGAAACTGTGCTAGGATTTTTGCAGTTACATGGCACCCATCTGGTGGATGAGAGAACGCTGGCTCAGAAAGGTGAAGTGCTTTGCTCAAAGTCAGTGCTGGAGAAAGGACGACAGACAACGTGAAGTCAGGCTACCTCATCTATGAAGATTACCCCCTTTCCTACACAACACTGCCATCCACTACAATTTTGGGAAACTATATCTCTCTGTCCAAAGGAAACATCATTTTTCCCATGTGTTACTGGTAAAACATTAAAGGAAACCAACAAAGCTCCATGTTCTCCAGCAACTTAATTATTTGTGCAAAAAAAGAGCTGATTAGCTTGTTAGTGTTAATATACTTCAATATACTTCATATTTTATCAAGTATGTTAGATTTATAAGTATTTTTTCTATTGTAGTTTCTTTGAAAAGAAAAGCACTATCAAGCATCTTATTAAAATGACTCAGATGATACTCATGTGAATAGTAAGCCTAGGTTATCTGTCCTCAGCCAGTGGATGTGGCAGGGCAGCAACCCCCACGACGTCTCCCTCCTCTCGTCCGGGAAGGTAGGGGTAGGAAACGTGCTTTTTTGCTGCAATACAGAAAGAAGTAGGGGGGAGATGCAACCATTTCAGACAGGATGGAGAAAATTAATGAAGATAAAACAACTCTGAAAGTTTCCACTTACACATTTCAGGTGCTGGGACCAAGTTATTCTAGCTGGAGAACCACAGCTAGAAAATTTGCTTCTTTGATAGTTAACATGTTTTAGTTCCCAAATATACAAAGAAATTATTCGGATTTCCCCCTCTATCATAAAAGGGTGGTGTAAGCAGAACAAATTGGCACCAGTAACTCAGAAAAGAGAAAAAGATAAAAAGAAACAAGTGTTGAAAATACATAACTTGACATGTACAATTACGTATAGAACAAAATCAACCTTCAAAAATGCCACTCTAGTTCCCCTGCCCAAATTCTTGGGTTCTGTAGACTATATATATAAGAAATACAATACTAACTTACATTTGTCTGAAACTGTGCTAGGATTTTTGCAGTTACATGGCACCCATCTGGTGGATGAGAGAACGCTGGCTCAGAAAGGTGAAGTGCTTTGCTCAAAGTCAGTGCTGGAGAAAGGACGACAGACAACCTGAAGTCAGGCTACCTCATCTATGAAGGTTACCCCCTTTCCTACACA